GTTGAAAAACTTTCCTAGTAACTTCATATGAAACACAAATAGTTCATTTTACAAATTCCTATGAGAAAATCTTGTATACACAATGCTTCCAACAACTTAGATTTGGGGTAATGAATGAGATACTATAAATGGGCAGAACAGYCCAATTCAAACAAAGAAACATGAATGAAATTCAAAGCCAGACAAGTCCACAGGATTCCCTAATAATAATTACAGTATATAYACACTGTATAGTTGCTATATATGCACATACCATATAGAGATATTCTATAGGTAAAAGACGTGGCAACGTACAATATAAGCTATAGGCTATGTTCTCACAGAAGACTTAAAATTAGTGTATTTGTATATATGGTACCCATAATCATCACAATCATGGCCAAAAGTACATTAATTTCTTGGAGGAGTATCCTCTATAATTCAAAAGRTTAACTTAGGAAGATATCTGCATTTTTAATAATGATGTTCATATGCAGCAAGAAAGAGCCACAGATCACATCAGGCATTTGAAAGGTCTGTTTTCACATCACCTGAACATTTACTTCTGGGAATTCAGAAAGTAGTTTAAAGCTGATGAAAGTCATTAACACAATGATTTACTTTAAAACAATGTTTACAATGTGCACAGAATTGAGGTTTGGCACAACAGGGCACCTGTAACAATACAGCAACATGATATAATAATGTAACTACTTTCTAAAGCAAACTGATTACAATAACAAYAAAAGCCCAAGTTTTTCCAGGGCACTTAACCTGATCAAATCAAGAGCAATTTCAAGCTGTCCCTCTTTTGTTTTTTCTCCTTTTTTTTTTGTGTCTGAGTGCCAAATTTCAAAGTTTAAATCAGCCTCCAATGCTAATATTATGCCTCTCCTGTGTCTGTCAGAACTCTAACAGTCTATTCAGTAATTCRACATCATCCATGAAAAGCACATAAAAGAGACTGGAAAAGAATTCTATCATCAGGAAACTCGAAATTCTCTACAAGGACCATCACCTAACACTGAAGTACCGCAAGGTTCTGTAAATTGTAAAAGGACTGAAAACTACACCATTATTCATTAGCCAAGAGCAAAAAGAAAAAACACCCTAAGAGTGGCCTCTTTGAAGAGRCTGAAAAGAGCCAGAATGAAAAGTCCTACATGGCCATAAACCTTTGCCATCAGTAGTTTGCAATTACAGAGCTCCTCTGATCACAAGAGACTTGCAACAGCAGTTGAAACACTCAGAGTATTTCTAAACATTACTTAGAAGTCCGTGAACACAAATGTAGGAATTGTCAGAACTCAAAAAGCCTTAGAACACTGGAACAAACAGCTTCAAAGGAAATAAGCTCTTCTAGAAATTTGGCTAAGGTATTTAAAAAAATAAGCAAGATCCTTATACTTGATTGCAAAGCAGGGGAATGAATCACAAGTTTTCAATGCCCTAAAGACTTCTGTACACAAAATTAATTACCACTGGACAGCATTTTTAAGTAAATAATTTAATCACTGAGGCTTCCCAGTACTGTCAGAATCATTTAGAGTTGTTTTTGAGGTTTTATTTAAATATTTGACACTTTGTTCAGAAGATCAGTTACACAACTAAACCAATTACTCCTCTATGGGAAATCATAGCATGTAACCAATCTAACCTACTTTTTAGAAATTCAGATTATACAAAGACTTATTTATATGGCAATTCCATTTTAACATGCATCTGCCAAAACCCTGTCACACACAGATCCTAAGATCTCAAACAAAGGCAAATGTAGTTTTGGCAGATGTAACTGACACTAGGGTGATGGCGGGTTTTGGCAAATAAAACAAAATCCATTACACAAAATGAAAACCCCAACCCCCACACTTCCATTACCTAAAGTCTTCAAGCTTGCTTGAGAGCTTTGTTCCAGCTTACAGCTTTGAATTCAAAATCTGAGAAGGAACTGAATGTCTATTCCTACAGCTTCTCATCTGAGGTGTATATCCCTGAAAGAGCAACCTAACACACCTTTCCTGCTTTCCAAAGAGTTTCTTGGGAAGCATGCTCAGATGCAGGAACACAAGTATAGTTTGTGTGTAAGCCTCCTTCTGAAACTAGATGGAAACAAAAAGAATGCTGATGAACACATGCAGTAACCCACTTCTTTTTTTAAATGAGATTTTTTCCAGGAATACTGCCTGYTAATTCTCGTAAGGGCCAAGTTCAACAAGTTGACCAGGGTAACTGCATGTGTAATCCTGCCTACCATAATTTTTAAAACAGGGCCTAATTTTGAAAAAATAAATTTCAACAGTAAACTGTCATTTCACAGTCAGAAATGAATCTCGAAATGAAAAATGACATCCACGTGGAAAACCTTCTCCTGTTTGTGTACAGAGTACATTGAAATGCAAAATTTACCAGCTGCCTTGTTCAGRCACCTTCCTCTACTACTACTGGTAATACAGGCATGCCTAAAGATAAATGAAGTGAGGTTTGAGGATGGGGGAAAAAATGCACGTGGGGGAAGAAGAAAATACATTTAGTACTGTMYGTGAGGCATATATTCACAAAACAGGAATCAAAACTCCCCTATGAAGCTCAAATTCAAACTTCAATACTCTGCAAACACCGTTAGAGACGTTACRTTTTTGTAGTGAGCAGGCTTTATGATAGAGCAACTTCAGACATATTCTCAGCCATTTTAACAAAAAACMCAAAACTCTCATCTTCCAAAATGACATGAGAACCACTATCTAGACTGCATATTACACCAACGTCTAAATAAACTACATGTTCTTAATATAGAACATTGACACAAATTCCTTGGGTGAAAYGACCCCACCTAACATTCTGAACTGACTGTGGCACTTCTCAAATTTACAAACAGGTGATACCACCATAGCACAATAGAATCTAAAATAATTTCTACCAAAAATAGCACAAGTTTCATGAGTACCMAGTTTTCATAAACTCGCAAATGCAGTACTCTAAATATAAATGTTTCTTGACCGAATTAGCTCTCAGAAACACTGCAAATGCCAGCCTCTCATGCTATTTTTTCCTAGCCTCCAGAACCTGATCCAGAGCTTCAACCCATGTCAGTTCCCAATTATCTCATGCTTATCCACCAGGATGCTTTTTCCACGCTGTCCCTAAACCAAACATGTAGCATTAACGCCCTTTTGGAAAGAGGCAAAGTACCTGCAGATTCTCCTGAAAGCTAAGGTCTAGTCAAACACTAGCAGGGTTGTATCTATGTCATTGTACTCTACTTGGCTTGATAAATTCTAGATAAGCATCCTTAAAAACACTACTTGTACAAGTACACTTAAAGATTTAAAGACCAAACAACTGAGAGAAGTCAGGAGAGYCAACACATGGATTCAGCCACACAGGGAAGGCAAAGAGAACACAAATATTTAATTCAACTCCACATGGAACAAGATGGGAGAATGTCCATTAAAGCAACGACAGCCTGGCTCTGTACACTACACATGAAGCACAGGAGTCAATTTCTCCGTTCATGGGCCTCCTTCCGTACAGGGAAGAAAAAAAAAAAAAAAAAAGTATGAACTTCAGATCTAAGAAAATGCAGTCTTTGTAAGGTTAAGAGCCATACTGTACACGAGCCCCCAAAAAAACCCAAAACACAGGAGAAGTGAGCAATCCAGCAGCGAGCAGGGTGGAGCAGAAGGCGGGACAATGACCTAATAGGTCTTTTCTATGTTTAGTTTCATGAGGCTCCCTGGCCAAGAGGCGCCGGGATCCCCCGYTCTGCCTCCGGCCGCGTCCCCCCGCAGCGCGGAGCGCCCTGACCAAGTTGTGCTCGAGTGTCCGCAGCCAGCAGCAATGCCGAGGGCACGGAGCCACCAGACAGCGAGCCCGGGGCAGCGCTGGAGGCAGAAGCAACGCTCCCAGTCATTTCTCAGCTATGAGCAACACACGCGATCCGCGCTGCCCGCCCTTACCTTGAACACTTTACCGAAAGCACCATCTCCCAGCTCTCCWATGATTTCCCAGAACTCCTCAGGGTTCAAATCCCTCTTGACGTGCTCGTATTGTTTCTTCTTCTTCTCGCCGCCCAGCTTGAAGATCTTACGAAAGTTGAAGAAGGACATTTTCGCTGCCGCCGAGGGATGGGGCGGGCGGCGGTGCCCCCACAGCCCGCCGGGACCACCTGGCGCGGGCGGTGATGCCGGGCGCGATTCCCACGCGGAGACCAAAGTCTTGGCGTCGCCCGGGAAGCGCCGTCACCGCCGGGCGCTGCGGGGAGACAACACCCCGCGACAACCCGCACGGGGCCGGGCTCGGCGCTGCTCTTCCCGACGGGCTCGGCGGTCCCTACTCGGCCGGGCCGGTCACCATCGCGGCAGCAACAAGTGCCGGGCTCCCTCCCCGGGACGGACGGCGGAGGAACCGGAGGAGGGGTCACGGCTCCGCTGGGAGGGGGCAGCTGCTGCGCGCCGGCAGCGGGGAGCGGTCACGTCCCGCCTCGCAGGACGRGGCGGATGTAGGGAGGGGCGGGGGCTGCCCCGCTCCGGGCTSCCGGCCGGTGTCCTCGAGGAGCGGCGTCCCGGGGTGGCACAGCGACGGAAAATGACGCTTCGCTGCCGGCCTCTCTTCCACTCRCTCGCTCCCTCGCCCTGTCGCGGAGAGGGGCCCGGGCGGCTCCGCTTCCTGCGGGGCGGCACCGGCGGCACCTCCGCCCCCTCCGCCCTCGCTCCCGCCCGCCGCCGGCGCGTGCGCGCGTGCCCCGCGCTCCCGCCCCTCTTCCCGCGCTCCCGGAACCGCCTCGCGCCCCCCCCGCCGCTCCGCCGCCGGCGCACGCGCACCAACGCGCGCCCCCGCGGCACCCCCTTTCCCCCGGCGCGTGCGCACGCGCCGCACCGGCAGCACGCGCGCGGCCCTCCCCCGCCAACGGCTCGGGCCCGGCACAGGCGGGGGAAGAGGCGGGGCTTGTCCTGCCCACGTGACGCGGCGGGCGCGGCGCCAACCAATAGGAGCGCGCGGAGGCTCCGGGCGGGTAAGTCGGTGTCGCGCGCAAGATGGAGGGGACACCCCCGCCCCTCGTGTCCCTCAGAGCAGGGGGACGGCGCCGGTGTGGGATCGGGTGCTCGTCACTCCGACACTGTGGGTTGTTTCCCTTTAGTCCACGGTCTGCCGCTGCGGGAGGGTCGTGTGGCAAACGGGCCCGTTACCTTCTGATTGCGCAGGACACCCCGCGTCTCTGCCGCTCTGCTGTCCCTTGCGGGGAGCGTGTCCCCAGCCCTGTGGCAGAGGTGATGTTCCCTGGGTACAGGGACAGCTTCCCCTCAGTGCTGTCTGGGTGCCCTGRGTCCCCAGTCCGGCTGCAGGAGCCGCAGGGCCCTGAGGGGCTCCTGTGTGCGTCAGGAGCGCGGTGTGGGCAGGTAATGCCTCCTGGGGCGCTTGGGCTTGCACGTGTGGATAGCAAAAGATGACGTTGGAAACTTGTTTTTGTTTGCGGTCCCGTGGTGTCCCTAGACCTGCTGCTGGTGTGTCTTCTGTCATAGCAGGGTGTGATGTTCTTGTGCTGCCCGTTTGGTATCTTCTGTATCTTATTTAATCACTGGGACAGGCTTGAATTTCCTTATCTCACAACCTTCTCTTCCTACAAGTGATTCCTTCCTCACTCTGAAGTATAATTTATAATTGCATTTTAATAGTTGTGTTGTGTGCATGCCACCAAATGTGGGGTGTTTCCTCTCTTGAAAGCCAGAGGCGTTCCCGTTGCCTGGATTAGGGGCAATTAGCAGACATGGGGACAGAGTTTGGGCTGTGACAGGCAGGAAGGCGATCCGGCAGCTGAGGCGATGCTGAGAGCTCAGAGACATCTGACAGTGAGACAAACACCCAGGGAAAAGCGTGTAATGCTGTATCCTTGTATGAACCTGAGTGCCTGCAGTTGCCATTAACTTAAGCTGCATGATGAGCTTCTAAAGATCAAGCCTCTGGTGTGCATCATTCCTCAGACCGTTTTATTAGCGTGACAATGGTTTGCTATACAAGGAGAGCAGTCCGTGTTTAAATTCAGTAATAATGAGGCATTGAGATGCCCCTGACACACAGCGTTTATGAATCAAACAACAGTGTTCGGTCATGATTCAATTTATTTAAACTGTATAAAATCAGTTTCAAGGGTAGTCTCACTCTATGAATAGAGAGCCTTTCAAGTACTCCKGCTAACCTGATTTGTTGTAATATTCAGCRTTTGTTTTTCAAAAATTATGTTGGGTTTTGTGGGTTCCTTGTACTGACAGCTTGGCTGCAAAAGGTAAAACTGTTAAGGAGGGTGTTAAAACCAAGACACTGTGTGTGTGAGGGCAAAACCAAGAAACAACTGCAATCCAAAGGAGCTGGTTTTTCTTCTGTGATCTGGCTGGCTCCACCTTATAATTTCATAWGCAAGTTTCATTCAGGTAGTTTGGATTAAATACAATAATAAAGAGAGTGTTAGCAGCAGCAGTTTAGCTTCTGGTATCTTAAAGTTCAGTTTCTTCTTCCTCTCTATAATTTTTTTGCCCCTCCATATGAGATGATAGCTTTGATTTGGATGTTAAAATGCAACAATGGCTTTAATAATAATCTTTATTGATATTTGTAATTGAGTATTTTGGTTTTAACTTTCTTTCTCTTGGATAAAAACTGTTTTGGGTTTTAATTTATGTACATTTATTTAAACCAACTTGTTGGTAGAGGATGAGGGAAAAAAGTAATCCAAAGCCATAGCATGAATTCCTTGTATTTAGGCAGGATWATCTTTTCTTTCTCCTCAGGGTTACTATCAATGGATGAGGCGGTGTTTATGTGCGAATATCCGAGTTTGTAATAACTGGAAAGAAGTACAAAACTAAAAGTAAATTTTGCTAGCTGTATGTGAACAAGCGTAGTTGAGCTGGCAGTTCTGGGTTGGCATAGCAGGGCCTGGTTCTTGCTCAGCTCTATTGACAAATGAGCGTGGGGCTGTGTGTAGTTCATACTGCATCTCTGTCATGTGCCAGTTTTCTGAACATGTCTGTGATAAAAGAGGCTCACTCAGAGCAGAGCCATCCTACAATAACTGAATGTTAGCAGGTACTGCATGTGTGTTGCTTTAGACTTGTATGAGTCTTCCAGTTGCAAGGAGTTTTTATTTCATATAACGTCAGAAGTATAAGATGAAAGTCTGGCACAAGAAAGGAACAATTAATCTAGTGAGAAGATTTTGCTTTTAATTTTTTCTTTCTTACTCTTTGACAAGTCATTCAAGATAAAACCAGGATATCTGAAAAGGAAAACTGTGGCTCTGTCTCATTTTTTTGCTTATTCTTTCACCTGCTTGCCACTCAATCCTAAAAATAAACTCTATAAGGTGAAGGTTAAGTGCTAGTAGCAAATCCTTCCCAATTTGCTTTGACTTCCTGATTTGCAGGAGGCTGTATRAAGCCCRGGTTTTGTGTGYGTGGTTTTTTTGTTCCTGATARCAGGAGCTTTTAGCAACTGTAAATGTTTCCAGATGGTAAGGATAAAAAGGTAAAAGTGAATTATATTAAAATTTCTTTTTCCGGAATTTAAAGCAATGTTTTTTGAAAATTTATTGCTTCCTTTAAATGTCAGAGGAAGATGTTAAAGATGTTTAACAACTATCTTGGTTGTGCATCAAATATACTGGCTTAAAATAGCTGTAAACTCTTTATGACAATCTTTTTCATCTCTTTGTGAATGAGAAGTCTCCTTTATACTTTCTGCTGCTTAATATCACCATCCTTTCTCATTGACTTGATCACTTACACTTACCACTGTTCCTAAATCCCTATTTAAGTTCTGCTTCTTTTAAACTGCTCCAGTTTCTCTGAATTGAAAGTAAACACTTACTTCAGAAATTTAATTTGAAATGCGTTCTTCACATATATTGTGCATATATTGCATATATTACCCTTTCACTGCAGTCCTACATTCTGTCTTCAGTTCTTTCAAAATATTTAATGGTATATTTTTATATTGTCTTGACTTTCTGTCCACCCACGCTTTCACTGATCTCCAAAATTCTTTCTGGTGATTGAGCTCATTGAACTGCTGTAAGGTCACAGGTGGTTTTTTCGTGGTTAAATCTTCGGCGTAATTCTTGTTTCATCCGTCTTAATCTGTCTGTCACCTTTGGCACTCAACACTGTCCTTTCTGTTTTCTTTAATCAATGTACCCAATGCTTTTATTGATATTCTCCATTTATGTGGTCACATTTTTTCATAGGCTCTGCTGTTTTTCCTCTGATCTGTTCCCAAAGTTAATGTTTTGTGCTGTTTTGGGCTCATTTCAGTTCTAAGCACCAATGTAGCTTCCAGATCCTTCTGTTTAACCCRGTGCAAGGGGGTGATCACTGTCCTGGTCCTGCTGGCCACACTATTTSTCATACAGGCCAGGATCAAAACTGTACATGAACACAAAGCAAATTATTTAAAACTCTCAGAGCCCTGTCCATCTGATGGATATTACAAGCTTTAGTTAAGTCACATGAAAGTATGTCTTGCAAATGCTGCACCATGTTTGCCTTTCCTCCAGATGGTAATTAGACCTTTTCCTCTTGCGTAGCAGTCACGAGCTGATTTGCTCTTTTTGTTTGTGGCTTTCAAATTTGCATTAGTTCACATAGTAGCTAGGATTAGAAATTTATTAAGGGATAAAGATAGCTTTGCATCTCAGTATTGCTCTCAGTCAAYACTGGCACAAAAAATGTCTGAACAAAAAAGCCCCCATGTATTGCTGCTTTTCTTTCTGCAAATCCTGATTTTCTTTCTCTGTTTCCCAGGAGTCTTTTTTTTTCCAGAATGAACTTTGTGTTCTCCTGTGATCCTGATCAGCTCTGGAATCTTGGGACCAAATAACTTAYTCTGTAATATGAAAACTAATTATTTTTAAATCTCTTTTCTTTTATGGCTGGCTGGGTAGCCATCAGACCCAATCCTGCTTATGTAGTAAGCATAACCAAGAAGTTTGTTATGCCTTYTATAACTACTATTAAAAATATAGCATTCTGAAAAGTAGGGGACATTTCCTATGCACYCAATAAAGGACAATCTGATAAAAAGATAACATTACAGTGCATTGATTTTTTAGTAATATCCCAAAAAGAGACATTGTAGTGGGATAATATTTGAGATATGTCTACTAGCAAAAAGGGGAAATAACAGATAGGATATGACATACGAACTCTTTGTTAATGTAAAACTAGACTTTAYAATATTAAGTGATTTTACTGAAAAAAGCAAAGTTTTTCATTGCATACTGTTATTCTTGTATTGCAACCATGTTTGGAATAATTTTTGTGTGTGCAATGTTCTCGTTTTACCTTGAAAATGAGGCAAAAAATAGTTGACTGCATTGTAAAGTAGAATTTAGTTTTCTGTAGGATCTCATCTTGGTGCATCAGCAATGAGTGGAGCTGCAAYAAAATGTCAATTGTTAAGGCAAACAGCAGCTACTGTGTGTTCAACAATAGTATGTGCAAACTTTGGGCACCAGCACTTGCTTATGACAAAACAGAGTATTGTGATGTGATGCACTTTTGTCTCAAGTGACCTGAAATGTTGTTGGGTTTTTTTTTGACAGAAAGGACTTTTAATAGCTAATCCACAAAATTATGTTTTATAGTATAGCGTGTGATATTCTTGGATTAAGCCAAAAAAGCCCATTACACTGCACAGACTGAATTGCAGCAGAAATAAAATTGCCTACATGAAAAAGAATTCCTCTGGCTTCTGACTGAGCATTAATGTATCTTTCTGGACAGAGTATACAGGAGTGACTTCCTTCTAGCGCATGAGGTAGGAAATGGCCTTTATTCAAATTCAAATGTAATTAAGGAGACACTAAATTAGTTTATAAATGGCTCTTGTTTCTTTTTACATACCAAGAAGTTGGAAATAGTAATGACTTTATCCTGTTAGCTGTGACAGTGATTCATGGAAGAAGTTACAGTGACAGTCGTCAGGGAGGTATTTTCTTTCAAGAATCTAAATAATCTTGTGCCATTTAGTACCTTTCGATTTGATTTGGTAAAAGTTTTTAAAGATGGTCAAAAATCATTACTAACAAACCTGGCTGCCCTTTCTCCACAGGGAGGGGAGTTACTGAG